TTGAAAGTACATTGTTGTAATAAAGAAAAACAAAAATAAAATGCTATAATAAGAAATTTTATGAAAGTAGGTTGTTATTTTATGCATTTAACCCTTAAATATATAATTAATATCAAATTTCTAAAACAAAGTAATCAATAAAAATATATATATATATATATATATATATATATATTTAATTTCTTTTCCACTTTTTAAGAAATTATCAGAAAATTGGACATGATATAAGATAATAAAATTCATTATTTTAGATTTAGACGTTGTTTGTTTACCTTTTAATAGTTTCATTCATAAGCAATCTTTGAATCGTTAAGAGGTGAATTTTGTTTGATAAAAAAAAGTCTATCTCTTAATGGTTCTAAAACCTCTGAATGATTTCGTATCCTGGATCTCCCTTAATCATTAAGAGCCCTAATTTCATTGTACACAATTACCAAACAGTTATATTTTATTTTGCATTATATCATGAGAGTCTCTTAATCATTCTAACCATTTAATCATTTTGCACCAAATCATTCAGCAATTGTCAAACAACCCCTTAGTATTTCTTGTTTAACACGACATAAGATTAGGACGAAATGAATTAATGCTGTGAAATAAAAATAAATTTGAAACAGTACATGACAAAGATTTAACATAACCGAAAAAATAGTAATCTATCGTCTAAAACTTGCCTAACCCATATCATCCGATGCAAGTCATGTCATATTTAATACCAAAAAAGATGCTCTTATAAGTAAACTCTTTTTTTCAAATATAAATGTGAAATAACCAACTTAAAAACCCGTTGTTTAGTGTTTAAGGTTTAGGGTTTATTTGTTTGTTTTTAGAAAAATAGCAAACTTTAATTAATTGTTTGTTTTTTTGAAGTTTGCTATTTTTCGAAAACATTGATGTGGCATTTGGTTCGCTGATGAAATTGGAATGTTGAATTTCATTGACTAAATTTGATTTTCTCGTTTGGTTCATTTTTTTTTCACAAAAGAAATCTTCAGAATCATACAAATTCCATAAATAAAGAAATTTAACATTCCTTAGCAACTACATGATATTTTGATGGAGTGAAATCTCTATCTTCATTATACCAAATATGCTCTTAACCTAATATACTTTAATCTCATGAAACTCAATATGACCATCGTCGACCACCACCACTGACTACCACCGATCTGAACCACCGCCTACCACCACCACCGATATGAACCACCGCCGATCTGAGCCACCACTGATCTGATTCACCGTCAATCTGAACCATCGCCGATAACCGCCATCTGAACCACCATGGACCACCATCGATCTGAACCATTGTCCACCATCGCCATCTGAACCACCACGAACCACCATCGATTTGAACCACTGTTGACCATCGCCATCTGAACCACCACGGACCACCATCAATCTGAACCACCGCCAACTACTACCGGTCTGAAGCACCGTCAATCTAAACCACCATTGACCATCACCGATATGATCCATCGATGATCTGAACCACATTTGACCATCGTCACCTGAACCACAACGAACCACCATCGATCTATATCAATGCCAACCACCGACGACTACCATCGATCTGAATCACCATCGGACACCGCCGACCACCACCGATTTGAACAACCACCGCCGCCACCGCCTATTTGAACCACCACTGACCACCTTCATTTGAATGACTGCGGACCACCATCGATCTGAATGACTGCGGACCACCACCATCTGAACAGCTGTGGACCACCACCGATCTGAACTACCGTCGATTTAGTAATATCGTTTGACTTATGATTATATTTAGGTTATGTATTTTATATCGGTTTAACATTCCATTTCAATTTCTTCAGAATCAAATTTCTTTAAAAAAAAATTATTTCATCCAAAAATATTCTACAAACTAAACGAAACATAAGAAATCATTAACGTCGACTTGTATGGTCCTAACTTCTAATCGTCAAAACCATCATATCACCACAATATACTTATCCTGTGAAGTCATATTCACTCCACCAATTTCGATTACCAAACTAAAACCGTTTTTTCAAATATAAATGCTTTTAGAAACCCCTGTGGCTGTCAACTTTTATTTTCTTTCATTAATGGAAGCCGCCACCAAAACTCCGGCCTCCCTCTCTTTGCCCTGGAAAACACGAATCTTACTTTGGGTTCTCTCCGCCGTAACCGAGGCAGCTAGGAGGAAAGACGGCACCGTCAACCGCCGTCTCATCAAATTCTTTGACTATCGGAGCCCCCCCACGTCCAAACCCAGAAACGGTGTCAAGACATACGACGTCGTTGTGGATCCCGCTCGCAAGCTCCGGTTTCGCGTCTTTCTCCCAATTCAGCACGCCGTTGAAGATCTCCCTCTCATTGTCTTCTTTCATGGCGGTGGATTCGCCTTCCTCTCCCCCGACATGAAGTTCTACGACGATGTGTGCCGCCGGTTTGCCAGAAAACTTCCTGCAATCATTGTTTCCGTCGACTACCGTCTTGCACCGGAGCACCCGTATCCTGCGCAACATGATGATTGCTTTGATGTGCTGA